CAAGGAGGCGGGTGAGTGGGGGGGTGCCGCCGGTGGGAGCCGGGGCGGGGGCGTGCGCGGCGGCCGCGTCCCAGCAGGACCAAGCGGCGCCGGAGAAGTTATCCCTGTAACTACACGGCCGGGGTCCCTCTTCATATCGCTGCGGTCCGGCACTGACAGGGTGTGGAAGCAGCGGGCAAATAGGCAGGCAGAGGTTCGCAGCATCTTTCTTTGGTCCTTTTCTAGGAATGGAGAAAATAAATTTCTCGGGAGGAGAACCGTTTCTTCAGGACAGAGGCGAATTTGTAGGCAAACTGGTCCAGTTTTGCAAGCAGGAGCTGAAGCTGCCAAGTGTCAGCATTGTTAGCAACGGCAGCCTGATCAGGGAACGGTGGTTCAAGAAGTACGGTAAGGAAAAACCACTGTGCACGGAAGCACTGGCAGGGTTTGGGAGCCTCCTCGGGGCAGCCTCTCCGAAAGATGATTTTCGGTGCAAGTGGGAGATGGTTGGTTAGTGGTTCATTTACAGTAAATGCAAACCAAACGCAAATACCAGTGAAATATTGTTAATTATATGTTGTGAAGACAGGCAGTTTGTACTATCGCCTGTTCGGTATAATAGTATAATAAAATAATAGCTCAGACTGTCTCTATAATGCTGGACGCACACACACACAAAATACGTGTTTTGATGCTGCTGCTGCTGTGGCTTTTGTGGTTGATGTGATGACTTCACAGAACTGTATTTACATGGCACTTTGTGACAGATCATGAGGAAGTGAAAGTGGGCAGAGTCCTGACAGCTTTTAACTGTAGGACTGAATATTAATTTTTTAAAACTTTCTTTCAGGTGAATATTTAGACATTCTGGCAATTTCATGTGATAGTTTTGATGAGAATGTCAATGTTTTAATTGGCCGTGGTCAAGGAAAGAAGAACCACGTGGAAAACCTGCATAAACTGAGACAGTGGTGCCGAGAGTATGCTGTTGCTTTCAAAATAAATTCAGTGATCAACAGATTTAATGTTGAGGAAGATATGAATGAGCAGATCAAGGCACTCAACCCTGTGCGCTGGAAGGTAAGAAAGTGGTGTATACCATAGGTTTCCTGTTCAGAGAAAAGTAATGATGAAGTTCTGGAGTTGTCTGAACCTCAGTCACATCTCCAGCTGCAGCCTGGGCTAGCGTTGGAAGATTTCTTGTCAGTGCTACGATACATGTTTCAGCGTACATACATCTAAGTTTTTTACGATACTTAAAGTAAGATAGAAGGTCTTTAACATTTGAAAATGTGTCATGGTGTCGAGAAAATGAGGAAAAGTTAGTGTACAATGATACATTAGAGTTAATATATCAGCAATATATAAGTGTACAGTAGACATTAATGTTCTGTTACAGAGTGTGAGTGGTTAGTGTGCATATATTTTCTACTAGAAGTGTATAAAATACATTATGTTATCAGTTTGAAAATGGGCACAGATAATATGACTTATAAATATGGGAGAACTTACGGAATAATTTCTCATTATTTGCTTCATGGAAATTGGTGTACACGCATGATTTCCCAGGAAAAAAAAAAATGACTGTGAAATCTTGGTCCTACTAAAGGGGTGTAAGGAAAATACGACATACATTTTAATATTTTATCAAGCTTCCTGGCCTACTTTCTTACTGGGGTTACAGAGCACGTTGATGGCAAAGGCACCTTTTTTCCCCCCAAAGTCTGAATGTAGTTGAGGACTTGGCCATTAGAAGGAGGCTGTTAAGTAGACAAACTATTGCATTTTGTTTCTGGGGAGTCTTCTCTATCTTTTCTGTGACCATCTGAAGCTAGTTAAACTTACAGTCACAAATCAGGTTAAAAACTTCAAAAATACAGATTGACTTAACAGTCTGCACTGTACATAGTACTTACTGGCTTTTATAATACAGCCATACTATTTGAGGTTCAATCAAAAGTTAATTTGAGCTTTTATTATCCGTGCCCTTATTAAGACCAGAGCAGTTAAGATTTCTGTGGAAATCTGGTCAGGAACCACGACTGTATAATTACATTTATAACTATGTAATGTTAATTTGCTAAAAATAAATCTGCACCATGCCCTTCGTATAGTATTCACTTATCACAATTTGTGTCAGTATGGCTCCACTGACAAAAATTAAAGTCATCGCTACTGAGACAACTGAAGGTTTTTGTCATGGTGACAGTCTTTTATACTCAAGGCAAATGAAAACATCAAATCTTAACCAGGTGCCTTTTGTCTTCAGGTATTCCAGTGCCTGCTCATCGAAGGGGAGAACAGTGGTGAGGATGCCCTGAGAGAAGCAGAGAAATTTGTTATCAGCGATGAAGACTTTGAACAATTCCTGGATCGCCACAAAGATATCTCCTGTTTGGTACCGGAATCTAATCAGAAGGTAAAATTGAAACTGCCCTTTTGTTACTTTATTTTGAAATAAAGTTGGAAAGATGGGAAAGAACTAGAAGCTTTCATGGCAACTAACACTTTCCCTATTAGTATTGGCTTAGAAGAGGTACAGTACAACTTTGTCAGCAACTGGTTTTGTTATGGTGGAAGCCAAGGTTTTTAATTTTCTTTAAGGCTTTTTATTGAGCACAAAGTTATTAACAGAAGAGTAAAAACCCATTGATCCCAATCCTGTGGAAACCAGCGGGAGTTCTCTTACAGCATTGTGTGGGCCTCTGCTCAGTGAGATGGATGTATAAAGTATTAGCACAGAAACTGGAAAAACTGAGTTTTCCACAGCTGAGTGGTGAACTCTAAACAATAATTAAGCCCTCTGCAATTGAATAGCTCTTCCCCATCAGGGCACAAGATCCTGAAAAGGTTGGATGTTAATGTAAACACACTTTATACTCTAAGCCTAGTTTCCTAATAGAGATTCACCATGTTATGCTATGGCGGTGTCATCGACCTACACGAAGTAAGATGTCATCCCAGTCAGCATTATGTTGGGTATTGAGGAACAAGAGCTAGTATTTTTGCCTGACATATCTTACTAGGTACTCCCTCCCACAATAAAGTCGCATTTTTAACATTGTCTATCTGAACTCCTTTGGACTGCACGTTCAGACTCTTTATTCACAAGGAGACTCCTTGCGCTACTGCAGAGCCCAGCAGTTAACTCCATGAGCTGCCATCCAGCTTACGTTAGCTGCAGTAAAGTGCCTTAAGGGTGGAGCTCAGGATCTTTTGTAAGATGCTTACAGACCCTATACATGGCATGAGGAGAGTTAGAAGACTCACTGTTAGGAAAGTTTATGAACTGAGTGAGGGTTACTAAGTTGAACCAAGTTCAGGAATGCCTTAGATCTCCCATCTCGCCTTCCTTTTCCTCTCCACAGATGAATACTCTTCATTTACAGTTTACTTTTTAATATAGAGAGAGCTCAAGTGAGCAGACTGGGTTGCCTCTACTATGAAGACATAGATGTGCAGTCTAGTGTTTAAGGCATTCGGTGGGAGAGAGCACTTATCAGAGAAGGTGTTTAGATGAGAACCCAGAACTGTTTCTACATTTTTTTCCATGTAAGAAGTCCTACAAAAAAAGGGTAGACTTCCCTCAGTAGGTTTGGTTCTAGAAGACTGTTTCTGATTTCTGTTAAACCTGTGTGAAAGATGGGCACCAAATTGATCAAACAGATTTCCCGTTCTACACAGCAGCAAGCTCCAGCTACCTACAGAATTTTAGGGAGGGTTTTGTAGATGTCCAGTTAGCTGAGCAAACATGTCTTATTTCAGCTGTTGGCCTGTTCCCTGGTGTAGACCTGAGAGCTTTTTGAGCTGGGAGATTGCCTTTGAGCTGGGAGAACACCTTTGTCCGCTGGGGTGATAATTAAACACCCCAGCAAAAATGGTCATGTCATTTGTTTGGAAAATGACAATCATTCCAATATGCAAAACAGTGTAAGTTCTGCTGATGTAGAATTTAATAGAAAACTTGGATATTATTTAAAACACCTTTATCCAGTTGGGCACCCACATGTCAATTAGGCACTTGAGAGGTCATATTCAAAGAATTACTGGTTTATTCATGCATTAAGTCATGCTAGTAATCCTGTTGTTTATTTCTATAAATTTGCTCCAAGCTCACTGAAATAGTGGGAAGACACTACCTGTTTCAAAGATTTGTATCAGGCTTTGAAGGAAGATTTGTTTGTTTTGTCCTTGATTTTTCATTAGAATGAAATTTTGGTTTATATATTAATTTAGTTTTTTCTTTTTTTCTATTACAGATGAGGGATTCATACCTCATTCTGGATGAATACGTAAGTCTTCGTTTGATACTTGGTATTTGTATGCTAATATATGTATGTATACAACAGTGATAACCAATTCTATTTACTGTGCATTCTATAAAATAATTTTACCACATAGTACAAGGACTAGATGTAATTTTTTCCCATCAAACATATTGAGAACTTGAATTAGTATGACCTAAGGAGGAGTTGCCATCAGGTTGCACGCATGATCATTGCATCACGAATCTTAAAAGTGTAGATGTGTATTTTTGCAGGATGCCTTTGCTGTTTTTCTTTAATTTAAAAATACGGATCTTGTCCTGAAAGTTAAGTTTCAAAGAGCCTACTTAGTTTACGTGTAACTGAAAGGCAAACATTTAATCTTCAGGAATTACGGTATAGCTTTGTTCCTGCTAAGATGTGTCAGTGTGTTTAACCGTGAGCTTCTGAGCCTTCTAAGGACTGCAGTGAAACTGTTCATGCGCTTACGTAGGCTTTTGTGGGATTGCAGTGCAACTTGTTTAATTCTGTAGAAAAATTAAGCTTTTACAAATTGACTCTCTAATGCCTTACCTATTGATGTTTCAGATGCGTTTTCTAAACTGTAGAAATGGACGGAAAGAGCCTTCCAAGTCTATCCTAGATGTTGGCGTAGAAGCAGCTATAAAATTCAGTGGATTTGATGAGAAGATGTTCCTAAGAAGAGGAGGAAAGTATGTGTGGAGTAAAGCAGACATGAAACTGGACTGGTAACTCAATATACTGAGTTAGGGCAGGTGCATTATGTAAAGAAAATGGGTGTCTATATATGTGCATGTACATATGTGTATATCTAATGCTTTTTACTACACTTGGTATATTATACAGATTGATGTTCAGTATAACTCTATATATGAATGTGTTAAATGTTTTTAGAATGTAGGTTATGTTCTTATCTATTGTTTGGTTGAACATTACCAAGTACCTACTGAGCTTTCATGTAAATAGATCTCTGAAATCGACTTTCTAGTCCATTGTATGAAGGACTTAAGGGCAAACTGTTTTGGTAATGTCACACAGGAAACAGTTTTAAGATAATACGTACGCGTGCATGCCAGAAAATAAACCAAAACCCACCCCAATCTCTAATTCATTATAAATAGATGTAATGATGGATAAGTGGAAACTTATCAGGGAACGTATTCCGCCTCGTTCATATGGAAAGGTAGATTGCAGCTCCTCACTCGATCACAAGAGGGCCAGCTTGCAGTCCTTTGGAAGCAGCCACTGCCTTTTTCAGGGGTAATAGAGGGTCAGAATCTAGGAATCGTTATCTGTAATAGTATATTTAAAAGGAAATCAAGATGAAAAAATTGGCAATTTTCATTCTTTAAGACTTAACTGTAAAAGCGTCTGTTGTTCTTCTCCCTCTCCTCCATATACACACACGATATTTGCAAAAGATGCTGGGGGATGTAATTTTCTGTGAAAATGTATTTTTAGTCATGAAAAAATATTGTATTTGTCCTAAAACATAAAAGTACGTTTTACCCAATGATGAGCAACTTCTTATTTCACATTGGCAATGACCTTAGTTCTAACAAATATTTACAGTGAAAACAATGTTTGCATTTTATTCGTAACTTCCTCCATTTCCCTTTTATCTGCAATTATTGATTTAATATTTTTAACATTTTTTTCTTTCCCCATACATACAGTTCTGATGAAGATTCCTTCTGAAATGAATTACTGCTATGTAGCACACCTAACGTATCTTCTGTTGCATACTGTCTGTGTTATTCGCATGGTTTTTATTTTGCTAAGCCATGGAATACAAACAACAAAGTTCATATATCATGTAACCTTGTTTTAAAGGTTGCTTGGCTCAGTAATCATTCTTACTTGCTGGTTACAAACATGCAGGTGTTAAGTGAAACTAATTGGGTTTTGTGATAGCTGTCTGATTTTAAGAGCTGGCAGCATCAACATAAAATAGAGAAAAGTCAAAAACCCCTGCAAAAACAGTAATCTAATATGCTGCCCTTGTTCTTGGTTTTCTGGCAAATTTTATGACTTTATAATTACAGTTTTCCAAATTTAACTAGTCCCATCTGCCCCAAAGCTCTGTATGAAGGGCACGGGGATAAGCATTGCACAAAGCAGAAGTGAGCTGGCGCTGCTCCTTCTTACTGTCCATTGAACTCAATGCCTGGACTGTCTCACACATTTAAATATTTGCAGCAGTTGGGAGCCAGCATGCATTAAATGTACCATGTAGAGAAAATTACACCTTTTTTCCTTTTTCTGATAATGCTAGTTGATTTTTTTTAAAGAGTTTTTCAAGATAAATGTTTTGCATTCACCTAATGCATCTTCAAAGTTGAAGGGGAAAGCACATAAGTAGGAGCTGCTATTTCTGAATAAAGGAAGGTGCATCTCTGAATACACTGTGAAAATGTTTCCATTTATAATTCCTTCAGTTTCTATTTTTACTATCCTAACTGTAAATACATGGTCTCAGTGGTGCTCTTTTGTCTCTTTGTATTTTGCATTTTGCAATCACAACACTTCCTAGACACTTAAATTTCAGGGGGTTTTTTTCTTGTATTAGTACTAAGTGACATTTAAAATGTGGCCCATATACATTAACCCCACAGTCTTTTGGCAGCTGTTTCGCTGACCTCAGTTGGAATTCTGCCTGAGTGGGAACTATGGGCAGTGCAAATTTATGTAACGGTGGGGTTTGACTTCCTCTGCATTCCCATTGCTCAAATGTTAAATCTAGCCTCTTCCTCAGCACCTACGCTGCACGATAGAAAAGAAGCATTTTCCTTTGCTGCTGGCTCAGTCCCAGCATGGGGAGACATTTAGTGCAGCAATGTACCACTAAATCTACCAGCTTGCTGCTTCTGCAGAAAATGCCAGCTGTATCACAGCACGCAGATGTGAGGCGTACAAACTCCAATTCAGATCCAGAAATCCTGCTATTCTTTGCTTTGCAGTTTTCTCTGTAAATGGCTATTCTTTTGCTGCAAGAGATCCTCTGTGGCTACGGAGGAAGCTACAGGATAAACAAACGAGCTGAAAATGTGAAAATCCAGTAAATAATGTAAAGACATTGATGATGGCTTTTATCAGAAGGTTCTAAGTTCTTATCTTCTTAAAATCCTAAGGATTTTATATCTCCTCTTGCTACCATACATAATTAAGCAAAAGTTTCTGCTCTGTGTGATACTCTTTTCCAAAGGAAATGCTAGTCCTGTACATTGGAAATGAAGAATTTGACATAACAAAGTTTGACAGACGGTCGATGAAGTTAAAGAATAGCTATTGGTATTTTCATATGCAAAATTCATTTTTGTGTAAAATCTCAAAAATTTCTTTGGCTACAGCTTGATTAACCTGGTTTATTTTTTTAAATCTATAAACACAGTTCACGTTGGACCAAAAATGGACTTCAGGCTTTCATTCTGTAATTGGGCCTAACTTTCATCATGGGACTAGAAAAATAATACTGAATTCAGTAGGGCTACTCCCAAGCTTAGAGATTACATGCACATTTTAAGTCCTGTAAACACAGGTATGCTTAACTGTGTTTTCATGTATAATCTCATAGTACTGCAGCTAAGCACTTGCTAAAGATGCTGAATTGGGAAGGAACTTACACTGTAGTTTACTAGCATTATGCAGCTGTTCATATCTAAAATTTGTAGAGAATGAGCATTTGGAAGAATGAATTACTTCAGTTAAAATCATGAATGTACCTTGGGTAATGAATAAAACTGTCATTTAAGATGCATTTTAAGTTGCCGTCTTTTTCAGCGTAAAGAATGCTTGATATATTTGAATGTTACAAATTATGACTTTTTAAATGATACTGTCACATAATTCGTGCTAAATATTTCACGAGTATGTTGCACATTTCAATAAATGTTTCTATTTTCTTAAGTTTGCCTGTAATTTCTTTTTTTTTTAAAAATATAACCCAGAACCATAATAGCAGAATGTGTGACTGCATTCACAAGAGATCTATAATTCTGGATGCAGTCTGTATTTAGCCCAGGGGGCTGCTTGCACGGTGCCAAGGGCAGCATCTAGGCCGAAATGGAGAACAATAGTGACGATTCTCCTTGTGATGAAAAGCATTTGTTACGTGCTGAGTGCGCTGGGCTGTGTTGGGAGAAGACAGTTAAAATACCTTGCGCTGTTCAGCTGACAGCCATTACGAAAGACACAACTATCCATAAATATCTGAGGAGAAAAAAAGATTATCTTCTGTTATGTTAAATAAGAGGGGAAAGCTAGTCAATTTAGAGGAGAAAAGACAAGCGGCTTCTCAAGCTCATCTCCTCATCTTCGGGCTGCAGTATAAGGTCTCATACTAGACAACCTGAACTGGAGCTTTCCACAGTAATTGGCTGTGTGTGAGGGGAGGCTTTGCATTTCCCCCCAGCCCCCGGCCTTCGCCAGTTTTTTTCCTGCATATTCCAGGGGAGCGAAGGTGCCCAGGAGCAGAGCTGCAGCAAGATGCTTTATGCCTCCCGCCTGCCTTCCCCGACCCCAGGACCTCCGCAGGGTGCCCCCCAGGGACTGCTCGTGTTGGGTCGCCCCTGCTACGGCTCGGGCAAGGGCACACGCTGCATTTTACTAAATCAGCCGGACAGCTCCTACTCATCTCTCCAGCTCGGTGTTTTTCCTTTTGTGTCCCCGTGCCTTACGGAAGAAAGCCGGTCGTTGCTCCATACATAAACCAACAAGAGGAAAGCAGCTGTTTTCGCTAAACAGTGCTTGCAAAACAGCCACGACCATCACGGTTTCCTTGCATTCCCCTTCTTCCCCTCGTTGCAAGCAAGGCAAACCCTTCTGCCCCTC